TCTGCATTTGTACTTACTTCGTTCATTTTTTGTATTGCCTTTCCTACTCCGACGGGACTGCACATGTTACCAATTTTGCAAATAGGGGCCTAAACGGTTAATGCAGGCAAAAACTTTTCTAAAATAATCGATGTAGGGTAAATTATATATCAGCAGCCTCAAGCAAATTTCAAAATTCCAACTTTTAATTTCAACATAAAGAAATCTTTTGCCTTTTTTTATAACGAAAACTTTTCTTTAAAATTTTTTTGTGCCCATTTCTTCATTTTGAGGAAATATATACCATCTTGTCTAGAATTCTTCAAGGATCAAGAATATGTAGTTCTTTTTATTCTACAGCCCTTTTGGTTGTCAGAGATAGCCTAATTTATGAAAGTGCAAATGGTAATTATCTCGACAACTAAAGGGCTAGAATAAAAAATATTACATATTCTTTGATCGCTTGGGAAATTCTGGACAGATAGCATCGTAAACAAAACCAAAAGTAACAAAAATTTTTAAAGAAAGGTTTTTACGGTACAAAAACAACTACTACTGCTATTGAAAAAATAAAAGTTAAATTTCAAAACCATTGACGAACGGTACACATCGACCAACCTAACCTAACGGTTTATATTAACTGAATTTGAGTATTCTAATATTTACATTCGACATAAAAAAGAAAAATGTTTTTGCCTTTTATGACGAAATACTTTTTTCAGCAAATGCAGGTTCTTAATTGGAACTTTTAAATTATGTTTTCGGATTTACGAAAGTAGATTAAATTCTGAAGATAATCAGGCCGGTAACACACTTATAGATTAAAGCCCTACTGGCATGTAAAAAACAGTTTTTTAATTAAAATTGCAAATAGGGCTAAACGTCCCAGAATAATTACATAAAGAAGTCGATATAGAAGTTTAGCTTACAATTCCGAAAACAGAATTTAAAATTCCAGTATACAGAAGCTGCACTTTTGCTGAGCTCAGAAGAAATTTTAAACATTTGTTTACCCGCCATTTACTAGTTACCGCTAAAACTATATCCAGCCTCCTTACACTTTTCTCTGCAGATCCGAATACCAAAACCTGAGTTTTCATTGTTTCGGTCCAAATTTTGTGTCATTTTGCCCATCCAGAGTCGACAAAATAATGATTGAATATTAGGAGAGCAGAAAGTTGAGAAAACTGTTCACTTCGCGGTAACAATAATAACTTACCTGGTAACGGGGTCGAAGCTGTGAAAACTTTCAGTTTCAGTTTCCAATAAACGAATGACTTACGCATGCACTTTTTAAAAATAAATGGTTTTAAGGGATCGTTTAATACGTGATCGGGTTGAAATAACAAAGAACAAATTAAAAATCAGAAATACTTAAAAATATGACCTATTTATTAAAAGAAAACACACAGTGTATAGAATTTTGGAAGTACATTTTGTGCAATGATATACAAAAGTTATTTAAGATAATAATAAGAAATTAAATATTAACAATATGATGCAAGAATGGTCCTTCTACGATGTCAGACTCAGGTTTTGAAATCCTAAAACCATCAAAGTAGTCCTTCGAACATAAAAATGCAATTTTGGGGGTCAATTTGAGGGTATCTGCAAAAGTTATTTAGGACAATGATAAAGAAATTTAATATACATTCTGATGCAAGAATGGTCCACTTTCACGATGTCAGACTCAGGTGCAAATCCTAAAACCATCAAAAAATTAGTCAACTGAAACATAAAAAGTAATTTTGAAAGTGTTCAATTTGTGAGATATACAAAAGGGCCATTTAGGAAAATGATAAAGAATTTAATATACAATATGATGCCAGAATGGTCTACCCTGTCAAACTCAAGTGCAAAAATCCCTAAAACCATCAAAAATTAGTAATTTCAATATATAAAGAGGCTGTATTTTGGGGGTCAATTTGTGAAGATAATCACAAAAAGTTGTTGTTTAGGAAAATATTAAAGAAATTTAATACTTTATTCTGATGCAAGAATGGTCCTTCTACGATGTCGAATTTCAGGTGCAAAATCCTAAAACCATCAAAATTAGTAATTTGAACATAAAAATGCAATTTTGGGGAATAATTTGTGAGATAATCTCAAAGTTATTTAGGAAATACAGTAAAGAAATTTAATACTTACATTCTGATGGTACAAGAATGGTTAAAACTTTACGATGTCATCAGATAAGTTTTTTAAAATCTAAAACCATCAAAAAATTAGTCCTTCGAACATAAAAGTAATTTAGAGAACCAATTTGTGAGATACTCATAAGGTATTTAGGAAAATGATAAAGTTTGGCACTACAATATGATGCAGAATGGTCAAAATACACCTGGTAAACTCAAGTGCAAAATCACAAGCCATCAAAAGTAGTAATTTCAATATAAAAGAGGTGATTTGAATTTTGGGGTCAATTTTGTAGAGGTGTCACAAAAGTTATTTGGAAAACGAAGCAAAGAAACTTAATACTTTACAATCTGATTATAAAGTAGGTTACCTACAATGTAAGACTCAGGTGCAAAGTCCTGGAAACTCCTATCAAAGTAGTCCTTCAAACGCATAAAATACATTTTCAAATCGGGTCCAATTTGTTGAGGTATTCCCAAAAGAAGTTATTTAGGAAATGAAAAATTTAATACTTACAATCCACGATGCAAGAATGGTGTTCCACAATGTCGAATCAGGTGCAAATCCTAAAACCATCAAAAAATTTAGTCCTATTCGAACATAAAAAATTCCATTTTTTGGAGGTCAATTTGGGAATAATCACAAAAGTTATTTGGAAAATGATAAGAAATTTAATACTTTTACAATCTGATGCAAGAATGGTCGCTTCTAAAATGTCAGACTCAGTTGCAAATCCTAAAAACCAGCAAAAAAGTGAGTCTTCGAACACTTAAAAATGTCACAGTACGGGAGGTCAATTTGTGAAGCTGGAATTATCACAAAATATATTTGAGAAAATGATAAAAGTTAATACTTACAATCTGATGCAAAGGAAGTAAGTTAGCCTGCAATGTCGAGACTCAGGTGCAAATCAAT